AATTGGAAATTTGAGATTCTGTTATAACTCGGCTGTACCACAATGTCTTTTCAGAGTTTTTAAAGTTACGAAAAATCGATCTTAGTTCTTATTTGAATGACTCCAATGAGACACATTTTGAATAATTGGTATACAATCAAGAACATATAAGTGCTGCTGGAGAGGGTAGTTATGAAACGTTAGTGTTAATCTAAGAGTTTTTCTACAAGTGTTTTTTTCTTTTTCTACTATAAATGCAAAAAATTTCCGTAAATTTCGGCTGAATTGTTAACTATTGCTCATTACTTGCTGTTTCTTTCGAAAAAAGTTGTACTCGTTGTAGAAAACGGAGTTTGCAGAGATTTACACCACGCACCTTTCCTTTTTGTAACCTCGCGTTTTGCCTCCTATCAGTCTGCGATCTAGCTTATTGTTTGTTATTTTTATTTTGCTTCTTTACGGTTAGAATTTAATGTCTTAAAATCATGCTGACTAATTAATACTACCATTCTAATTTAATATATGTAAAATTTGCAAGTGGTTAAAATAAAAAGAAAATTACTATAGATTGATGATATATTATAGATACTATTCAAGCAAACGGCCATTGCATTAACGCACACATAAGCGTTACCGTATTACTGGGCAGCTTTGCAGGCTTCCTAATCGAAAAGGATCGACGCTTTGTCTCCAAAAGCTCATTATCCGAGACTGCGAGCTTTGCTTGCGCATCGCTTTAAACGGGATTTAAGGAGATATATTTCAAATAAAATTGCATTGTCAGTCATTAATCTATCGGGGTCGTAAATCCTGCGCTGCACCTATAAACTATACGCCCTGAGATATGTAGTATCATTTCCACCAGTGATAAGAGTAAAACCACATGTTACAACATATCCATGACTACTCTTTGAAAGGAGAAAAAACTAAAGAGACGCTGAACTGACGCACCACCTTCGCCAAAGCAAGCGAGATATTCCTGTTCTTGTCAATTGGGGTTCAACTGACATAACCTGATACTTCCATGATACAGATGAACTTGCTTCAGCGCTATTTCAGTGTCTCACGAATTGCAGCTTTGCAGCGAATTATTAATAGCACAAATATTAATAACTAATTTCCTTGTCTCCTAGTGAACTGATTGCAAGTTCGTGGAATGAGTTTACATACATTACACATTAGTACAATCAAAAATAGCCATAAATGCGTGAAAGATTGTAGTTTGAGTTCCTTTTGAGTCGTTTGTCTAAGCTAATATCCAATAGTGAAACCGGATTTGAATTTTAAGAAGGTGACTGCCAGACTATGCCACCACTTGCTTGGTTAATGACTATTGTTGAACGCCATTTTTTT